CATTCAATGCTAATATTCAAAACACCTTTCTAAGTAACGGTGCTTTTTTCTTTTCGAATTTTAAATATTAAATATTTAGGCATACTTTTATCAAGACAATCAACAAAACTGGATTCAAAGGCCCCCCCCCCCCCCCCCCCTAATTTAAAAAAAAAAAAAAAAAGCTTTAATTCATTGTTGGTTAACACCCTCTAATAATATTCACTTAACAAGGTATTGAAAACACAAGATCCCCTCCCCCGCCCCCCCAACTGTTCTCATTAAAGGACATATCAATCATGCCCCAGTAGATAGGTTTTTTACATTAACTGTAAAGAATGAAGTAGTATCTGCCTGAAGTGACAATTAAGTATGATGATGTGATGAAACATCTCTAAAAAAGTAAATGACATTTATTGTTTTGGGGAATAAATTTAGTAGTTTGCCCAAGGTTTGTATCCCAGTGTGTGATTTATCCACTACCCGTCAGTCACTAGCAGAACGGTCAATTCCCATACAGTGGTCAAAACTATTTCTTGTGACTAGAAAATTGGACAGTTAGGCTACGTTCACGTATCCCGGTTGAAATGGTACGCGTGGCGCAGAATTTTTCCACGATAAACGAACGCACTTGGACTGTTCTATAAGCAGAGCTAAAAATGCACAGTTTCGGAGAATAAAAAACAATGTTTCAAGAATATTATGCCCTTCTCTCACGCGTCCACTGAATAATATAACGTATCTTAAAAACTACATGTGGCTTGACATTGTTTTAGAAAGAAATAACACAAACTGGCAATAGTCAGCATTTTAGTTTGGTCAGGTACGTCTGGACCCCTCAATCTACACGTGTCAAATTTTCCTGAGGTCAGCCTCGGTTCAGATCTGTACCTTTTGTTTACTATACAGGTTCAACCGGTTCAACCGGTTCAACCTCCGTTTCAACCGTAATATGCGAATGTCCCCTAAATGTTGTTTTTTACGGTAAATATTACCACTACTTTGCGGCCCATAAATTGGACACTTATTTTGATGTTACGTTTGAATAACTACTGTATGGCAGCTTTGGTAAAGTGTAGACTTTGTAATGTAAATGTCCCGAATTCGACACAAACAATTATGATTCCGTTTTTACTTTATAATTTCCTTTTTCAAACATTCAAATTTCGATCAACTACAATTCTGGAAGATGCACAGAAACAATTTTTTTATAGAACATTTCTTTCAAAAGGGTCTTAAACAAAATATTTCACAGTCGTGAAAATGGTGCTAACATAGTTTAACTTCTTGATACCCTTTACCTTGATACCCTTTACCTTGAAACCCTTTACCTTAATACCCTTTACCTTGATACCCTTTACCTTAATACCCATTACCTTGAAACCCTTTACCTCAATACCCTTTACCTTAATACCCTTTACCTTAATACCCATTACCTTAATACCCTTTACCTTGAAACCCTTTACCTTAATACCCATTACCTTAATACCCTTTACCTTGAAACCCTTTACCTTAATACCCATTACCCTAATACCCTTATCCTTAATACCCATTACCTTAATACCCTTTACCTTGAAACCCTTTACCTTAATACCCATTACCTTAATACCCTTTACCTTGAAACCCTTTACCTTGAAACCCTTTACCTTAATACCCTTTACCTTAATACCCATTACCTTAATACCCGTTACCTTGAAACCCTTTACCTTAATACCCATTACCCTAATACCCTTTACCTTCATACCCATTACCTTAATACCCTTTGACTTAATACCCTTTACCTTGATACCCTTTACCTTGAAACCCTTTACCTTAATACACTTTACCTTGATATCATTTACCTTGATATCCTTTACCTTAATACCCATTACCTTGAAACCCTTTACCTTAATACCCATTACCTTAAAACCCTTTACCTTAATACCCATTACCTTGATACCCTTTACCTTAATCTAAGAGTAACTGTTCTGAGCTAATTAATTTCTGCTATTTTACAAATGACTTACCAAATATAGTGCGTAATTATAACCTAGAAAACAGTGTGTTAGGGAAGATGTTTGTATACTTTGTTATAACAAAAAAAGAGAAAGACAAAGGGATAAAGGAGGCATGATAGTCTAGTGGTAGGACGCCGGGAAATGGCAGCTCCAGCTAAATGCTCCCCAGGGAGTTTAGAAAGGTATTGGCTGGTTTGCAAAGGCCCTATAACCACGGATAATAATTTGTGAACTGCTTTGAGACGACCTACGAACTAGGTTGTGATAAAATGGTATATAAGAACTTCAAATTATTATTATTATTATTATCATTATAGAGATGAACAGAAAAACAGAGACAGAAAGAGATAGAAAAAAAGGAGATAGTTGATCTGATTTAGAGATTCCCAGAACACAATACTTGGTGTGGTCCGGTCATACTGTACAACAACGGCACATGACATTAGTATTTGTCATAGAAACGGGGAAAGTATTATCTACACCGGCACCAGTTAAATAATTGACCACTTACATTATTGCTTTTTGTTGTTATGTAGAAATGTATCATGCGTTACCCTGGAGACTGGAAACACATGGATAATATTGTCAATAAATCTACTCTTGTCTCTGTTCAGAAGGCCCCATTCTTTGATCTCGCTGGTTATTGATGTTAAGTGCTGATGAAATAGCACCATATGTATAGAGTTAATAAAACAATTTTATATGTATGGAGTTAATAAAACAATTTTATATGTATAGAGTTAATAAAACAATTTCATATGTATAGAGTTAATGAAGTATAGTTCTATATGTATACAGTAAATGAAGTATATATGGGATCTTAAATGAGCCTCAAAGTTTTAATTTTTGCTCGCCAAGGCTCGCAAAAATTAAAACTCCTAAGACTCGTTTCATCTCATATGAAATGAAAACAAATTTAAGATAATTTTTATCACATAACTCAGAAAACTTACATTTTGACAGGTTTTAAAGCCAAAATGTAGAGGGCTTATAATCAAACGGAAACAGCCATTATTTTATGCCATGCACAATTTATGATGTCACATCATTGTCCATATTATGACGTCACAATCAATTTCTGACTGACACAGCCAATGAAAAACGCTCCAGGGTATATTACACTAGTGACATATGTAAACATATTACACGGACGAATTCACTGGATAACGGGTCGATTATGTGATAAAGTTTTATATGTATACAACTACTTTAACAATATCATGTACTACAATGAATGAAATAACTTTATATGTATACAGTAAATGAAAAAGCTTCATCTCTTCCTGTAAATGAAACTTAATAGCTTATGAAATAGCTTCCTCAGACAATCAAACTGACAGCAACAATAACAGCAATTAACACTTTGTTAAAAGGCAATGAAGAAATAAGTTTTACCACATAATAACTGTAATTTTGAGTCGACATCCCTGTCATAGTTTCACATAAGAATGTATTTAATGTGAACTATTGTAGCTTCGACAAATGATGTTGTGGACTTCCAGATTATATGATGTCACAACGGAAACAAGAAAAAGAGCAAGAAATGACAGAATTTTAGACTTATGGAATGAACTGAAAAAAGTTGTTTTGCAAAACAGTCTATGACTTGTTATACAAATATTGTATATAAAATGGAAACTTGTCTAAGATCCTATAAATAAGTGATGGACATTACATCCATTTAAAATAAGCTAAGACAATTGAACTGTATAACCTGTCTAAAGTGAACCCTGTCTAATCTGATTTAGACTGGTAACACTGTACATATCTTCTTCCAAAATTCAGGTTTTTAGATTCTCCTCCGATTCGTATCTCAAACCTGGTAAATGGAAATTTTGTATAATCTGATTTAGACTGGTAACACTGTACATATTTTCTTCCAAAATTCAGGTTTTTAGATTCTCCTGTGATTCGTATCTCAAACCTGGTAAATGGAAATTTTGTATTTCAATCAAATCAACACCATATAATACCCACTGTTCACTCTCCACAATTGTGTTTTATTAAAAGCAGCACTCAGGTAGTACCATTTTAAAAGGAAAGATACGGTTACACCATCTCCCCGGAGGGATTACATTGTATTAGTGATAATTTACAGTGAAGTTACATTGTACAGCAATATCTATGGCTGTACAGATGATACTGCAGGTTGATTTCTAGAACCGTGCTTAAAGTACACTAGCATGTTTTTTTATACTCCTGCTTTGATGAAGTTGGGGGTATATAGTATTCGGTTATTGTCTGCTGATGTGCTACTGCGTGCGTCCCTCCATGCTGACTGTGGTTTCCTAAGCATCAAACTTCATATAAAGGTACATCATTGAAAGTCAGTGTGTCGATCACTTCCAAAAAACGAGGTAACTGTGACATCAATTTGATCTAGAGCTTGACCTCAAGTACTACAAAAATGGCTTCAGAGCATATCTCAGACAGTGTTATTCATTGGTATCAAACTTTGTATAAAGGTACATCATGGGAAGGTGGTGAGTTGCATCCTAAAATGAGGTCACTGTGACATCAATTTGACTTTTGACCTCAAGTACTGAAGTAATGGTTTCTGGAGCATATCTCAGCAGCTGTTTTGTGAATGGGTATCATATTTTGATTATAGGAACATCATGGGAAGACAGTGTGCCACATCTTAAAACACTTACCTCATTATATGTTTTGTATGAGAGAAAGGTAAAAAGGAACATTTACCTCATTGGGTAGGTAGTTATTATGTATTATTGTTAGATAGAGAGAAATACTAACCTCAGCATACAGGTAGTTGTTCTGTATTACTGGTAGGTAAAGAGAAACACTTACCTCATTGGGTAGGTAGTTGTTATGTATTATTGTTAGGTAAAGAGAAACACTTACCTCATTGGGTAGGTAGATGTTCTGTATTATTGTTAGGTAAAGAGAAACACTTACCTCTTTGGGTAGGTAGTTGTTCTGTATTATTGTTAGGTAAAGAGAAACACTTACCTCATTGGGTAGGTAGTTGTTCTGTATTATTGTTAGGTAAAGAGAAACACTTACCTCATTGGGTAGGAAGTTGCTGTCCTGTGATCGGCTCTCTGCCATACCTGGTGAGAGGGTGGTGAAGCCCACTATCCCCGAGTTCTGAAACAGTTACAAAATGGCAGGATTGTGATATAAAATCAATACACACACGGAGGAACATATGAATACATATATAGTGTGGTACAACATTGGAGGGGCTTCATGATGGCCCGGAACCTACCCCATGTTCAGTGTGATCCCCTGTCAGACCAGGCACATGCTATAGTGTCAGTAGAAACCCGCCATGTTACACAACTCCTATATATATGTAAATCCTACAATCATATATAAACTAGGAATTTAACACATCAACCTCCCAGGGAGATTAACATTTCATATCAAAATTCAAAACAATGAATAGACAAATAGTTGCAGCTTTCAAAAAGCAAATTAAAGTGTTAGGTGATGGGATTGGGTTTGCATTTTCATTATGATAAATCAGTTTTCTTATTAACATGAAACGGTTTTACCTTTTATTTTTATTTTTCCTTTAATTGTCTTCTATTGGAATAAAATTTTAAAAAGAAATCCATTCCACTACATGAAGCATTAGTGTTTGGTAGTAAATTTCAGCAATAGTGGATATGTATTTGTAAAACTTTACACATCAATGTGATCGTAGAAATAGAAACAAAAACAAAACACTAATGACTAAATTTCGTTAGTACTTTCGCCGATCTTGGGACTTTCTTTTGATGGCCAAGATGGGCGAACTAAGTACTAGCGATATTAAGTCTTCGGTGTTTAGTTCTATTTATATGTATGGAGTATCAATCTGGTGTGCTTTATCATGATAGCAGTCCTACCAGTACATCAAGTAAATATGTACAGATTTTGTACATCATACAAATGAGCTTATATTATAATGTCATTACACAAAAAAAATCAATATATCCACTGCAATAAAAATAGTCATTGTTATGAATCCCTGTCCCACTGTGCTGCCTACTTTTTCGTGTATTCAGCAGCCTCCCCTTAATTTTGTTTCAGATAAAACTGTAGCACAGTTGGCCCAGGAACCTTCCATTGAGCAGGCCTTAACCCTTTCACCACTGTAGACCATACTGGACTCATCCAGATCAATGCATGGTAGAGTCTACTAAAGTTACATAGGGGTGAAAGGGTTAAGGTAGGTGAGTTGGTTAGAGCAATAGTACATAACAATATGAAATCCAGGATTTAAATCCCGTCTAGCCCAGCTCATTGTTTTATGTTGATAACACTGTTGTTGATCATATTTTTGTTTATCTCATCTTCATTATTTTTTCAAAGAAGTCTCGTAATATATGGTTTTCTTTTCAGAAAGGATTTATCAAAGCAAGAGTCATACGGGAGAATTAAAGCACATGTATGGGTATTCTTATAGACTTGATGAAAACAGACATGGAGTTACAATTATTTCCTAAAAATGATCATGAAGAACTTGCTAAATCGCACAGAGTTTGGACACGGTGAAATAAATTTGTGTTCACCTTTTGGCACGAAATATCTATTAGTATGAAGGCTTTATTTCTATTGAAAATCGGACAAGAAAGTAAAATGGCCATCAGCAATTTAGATTCAAATCATAGTAATAAGGTAGGAAATGAACTGTTTGACCTTGAATGCTTTTAGAAGTGTGGCGATAAATAATATTACTTTAATATCCATTATATTATCAACAGTTTTTATCCTAGGTAGCTCTGCAGGTCAAAATTATTTCTTTATATTTGTGCAGGATGAAATGTTTCACTGTATAACAAAGCCGGCTCAGTTGTTTGATATTCCAGGTGTTCCAAATCACCTGTATTTTATGTGATACAGTACAAATTTTCTTGAAAATCACATGACAAGGCTTGTTGATTATGTACTAACAAAATTCTAAGACACAAATTCGTAAACATACTCGCCAAAACACTGTGTCACGAAACTTTTCCTGTCAGAAAATACTGAACCCAGACTGTTCAAATCTGCTGCTGTGTTTAGAAAGTACTGTAACTTACTATTCAAATCACAAAACACTACATCTGGACAGTTTAAGTCACATAACACTATATCTGGACTGTTTACGTCACAAAACACTATATCTGACCTGTTTACATCACAAAACACTATATCTGGACTGTTTAAGTCACCAAACACTATATCTGGACTGTTTAAGTCACAAAACACTAAATCTGGACTGTTTAAGTCACCAAACACTATATCTGGACTGTTTAAGTCACCAAACACTATATCTGGCCTGTTTAAGTCACAAAACACTATATCTGGACTGTTTAAGTCACAAAACACTATATCTGGACTGTTTAAGTCACCAAACACTATATCTGGACTGTTTAAGTCACCAAACACTATATCTAGACTGTTTAAGTCACCAAACACTATACCTGGACTGTTTTAGTCACCAAACACTATATCTGGACTGTTTAAATCACAAAACACTATATCTGGACTGTTTAAGTCACCAAACACTATATCGGGCCTGTTTAAGACACAAAACACTATATCTGAACTGTTTAAGTCACAAAACACTATATCTAGACTGTTTAAGTCACAAAACACTATACCTTGACTGTTTAAGTCACCAAACACTATATCGGGCCTGTTTAAGACACAAAACACTATATCTGAACTGTTTAAGTCACAAAACATTATATCTGGACTGTTTAAGTCACCAAACACTATATCTGGACTGTTTAAGTCACCAAACACTATATCTAGACTGTTTAAGTCACCAAACACTATACCTAGACTGTTTTAGTCACCAAACACTATATCTGGACTGTTTAAATCACAAAACACTATATCTGGACTGTTTAAGTCACCAGATATTGTTAACAGATTATTGTTCAAGTTACAAAACACTGAACTTAGATGGTTCAAATCGCAAACCACTACCCAGACTATTAAAGTTTACTTAGATGTATAAATGAGTACAGCCACACTAGGAAGTATACCTTCACAAGCCCTTCATTCTTTCTAGTGTATAACTTAAACCATTTAAACCACTCAAACGCCAATCATCATGGTGAAGCAACGTTTTACTGCTATTGGAGACAGAGAGATTGAAAGATAGAGAAAGAACACAAAAGCAGGAAGTGATTTTCATTACATTACCAGAACCTGATAATAGGATGACCTCTTACTTAATCAGGGTTAATGTCAGAGGAAAAAGCTCAGAGAATCTGATACTTCATATAATGACACTCCAAGGCAGATGGACTAGCTCATCAAAATGGTCTGTTTTCCCTTCCACCTAATAGCATCACCAAATGGAAATCAATATGGTATCATGTAGTGGTAACCAAAATCTAGATACTAGTTAGATATGTTGTTGTTTGATTCGCTTGCTATTGTCCTACATATATAGTTGTTCCAATAAATCTCCATTAGTCTGTGTGTGCATTTTCAATAGTGCCTACCACGAAACATCCCTTTATAAAACAAATACTTCCACACCATAGCCGCAATGATATTTACTTGATCCTCCAAATTGGTTAAATATCATTTTAAGCAATTAAAGTCAATCAATAATCGTGCTTACATTATTTCTGTGATAGGATCAATAAACATTATTGATTGGGACGGAAATCTAAACAAAATCTGTTAAAGGTGAATCTCCATGTAATACACCGCAACAGATCAGTGTTACATCAGCAGCTATGACTCAAAAAAAGTGGCAGTGGTCGGCGGGGATCTATGAAAATATATTAGGGTAACAGTCACAGTAGTGGTTGGTGGGGTATCTATGATATATTAGGGTAACAGTCACAGTAGTGGTTGGTGGGGTATCTATGATATATTAGGGTAACAGTCACAGTAGTGGTTGGTGGGGTATCTATGATATATTAGGGTAACAGTCACAGTAGTGGTCGGCGGGGTATTTATGATATATTAGGGTTACAGTCACAGTAGAGGTCAGCGAGGTATCTATGATATATTAGGGTTGTAATCACAGTAGTGGTCACCTCTATGATATCTTAAGGTTACAGTCACAGTAGTGGTTGGTGGGGGGGTATCTATGATATATTAGGGTTACAGTCACAATAGTGGTTGGTGGGGTATCTATGATATATTAGGGTTACAGTCACAGTAGTGGTTGGTGGGGTATCTATGATATATTAGGGTAACAGTCACAGTAGTGGTTGGTGGGGGGTATCTATGATATATTAGGGTTACAGTCACAGTAGTGGTCACCTCTATGATATCTTAAGGTTACAGTCACAGTAGTGGTTGGTGGGGGGTATCTATGATATTTTAGGGTTACAGTCACAGTAGTGGTTGGTGGGGTATCTATGATATATTAGTGTTACAGTCACAGTAGTGGTTGGTGGGGGGTATCTATGATATTTTAGGGTTACAGTCACAGTAGTGGTTGGTGGGGGGTATCTATGATATTTTAGGGTTACAGTCACAGTAGTGGTTGGTGGGGTATCTATGATATATTAGTGTTACAGTCACAGTAGTGGTTGGTGGGGGGTATCTATGATATATTAGGGTTACAGTCACAATAGTGGTTGGTGGGGTATCTATGATATATTAGTGTTACAGTCACAGTAGTGGTTAGTGGGGTATCTATGATATATTAGGGTTACAGTTACAGTAGTGGTTGGTGGGGTATCTATGATATATTAGGGTATCAGTCACAGTAGTGGTTGGTGGGGGGTATCTATGATATTTTAGGGTTACAGTCACAGTAGTGGTTGGTGGGGTATCTTTGATATATTAGGGTTACAGTCACAGTAGTGGGTGGTGGGGTATCTATGATATATTAGGGTTACAGTTACAGTAGTGGTTGGTGGGGTATCTATGATATATTAGGGTTTCAGTCACAGTAGTGGTCACGTCTATGATATCTTAGGGTTACAGTCACAGTAGGGGTCATCTCTATGATATATTAGGGTTACAGTCACAGTAGAGGTCACCTCTATGATATATTAGGGTTAGTCACTGTAGTGGTTGGTGGGGTATCTATGATATATTAGGGTTACAGTTACAGTAGTGGTTGGTGGGGTATCTATGATATATTAGTGTTACAGTCACAGTAGTGGTTAGTGGGGTATCTATGATATATTAGGGTT